CTGTTCCAAGTTGTGGTGTAGTGGCTGTCGCAGCTTCAGGTCCCGAAGCTGTGGCAATGGCTTTGTAACAGTTTCCTGGCTGATAGATGCCAGTGACCTTGTTTCTCATCTGTTTCTTTAGATCTTTGCATGATGCGTTGCTTTGTGAGATCTTCTAGCCTTATTCACTTCACCAGACAGAATTTATTTAAGTGATTTGGCAGGAATCAGGGTGAGGCTAGTGAACTAGAACTCAGATTGGATAGCCTTTTCCCTCAACAAATGAAATCATCATTTAAAATCTTTTATCTTTGTATTATTATTACAATTATTATTATTATTTCTGTATTAGAAGAATCACACACATTATATTGACAATAATCTGACACGGTCAAAGACTGTTTATCTTTTTTTTTTCTTTTTACATCTTTTCAAGTCTGTGCAGCCTCAGCATGATAACTACTGGCCATTTTGCTGCAGCACTGCCATTTAATGAATCGTTCCATTGCCTAGTGGATAACAGAATGAACGAATGGCTTTCTGTGTTAGTGGCTGCCACTGCCTATCCTATCAGATAATTAACTTTTTGCAAATAGACTGCACTGACTACCAAACAGAGTAAGCCTGCACAATTAGAATTGCTTATCTATGTTCTTTCTTTTCTTTTTTTTTTTCTCCTCCCCGCCCCACCCCCCTCCCCTCAGACGTTAGAGGGAAAAACAAACAAGACAAACAAATCCAAATTTCATACTTCTTGCTCGACTGTTTTCTCCTCAAATGGTCACACACCAATTGGCCCCAGATTTGTGTATCCATGCACAAATGAACAAATAATGAATGAGCAGGGATGAAAATGAAGTCTTATTGAAAGTGAACCCTCTGTATTATTATTATTTTTTATATATATATATTTTTTGCAGTGGCTTTTGACAACCTCAGCCCAGATGTTCAGAATTTCCAACAGGGAAGCTGAGTGTTCCCCCAGCCCCCCCCCAACCTCCCACTTCTTCTTCAGCCTTCATATTTATTTATTTTTCTCACAGGCGGACGGTTTCGCGCCAACAGTGGTGCAATTCAATATTTATATGTTTCCTTCTGTTTGGTTTCCACCGCAAAGGGAGGTGGGCATTCCTGCGTCTGATTTGCCTCGGCGGCGATCCGGTCCCTGCTTTTAGAGCGTCGGGGGCCGTTTGAACAAAGCCATCTGTTTGAGTGGGCCGTTTTATTAAGTGACAAACTGGATCCCTCTGCCTCGCTAATGTGCCCCTCGGGAGACGGCGGTGGCTTGTTTTCGGGTGCGTGCCTGGTAGAAAGATAAGCACGGGAAGAGAGCGAGAGAGAGAGAGAGAGAGTTTTCCTCTGCAAATGTCGCGATACGTCGCAGAAGAGGCGTGCATAACCCATGCGGTTCCGTCTCTCCAGAACTGAGAGGTTTTTGCCTTTATGAATCCACGATGATAATTGAACAGGGACCCCTTCGGCTTCCATCTCATCCCAACTTGCCTCTCTTCAATATGTGCTTATTTAATGGACCCCTTCACGATTTTCTGTCGTCCCACGTCAGTCAATTTATTAACATCATTCGCCCATTTGCAATGCTTCCGCCATCCAACAGGAATGCTCGAATACTCGTGAGAGCATGCGCTGGTGCACGCATGTATATGTGCACGATTTGCGCTTCTGCCCCCCCATCAGAGATTCTGTCAGTGCATCGAATGTGGGACAAGAGCATTAGCCATTCTTTTTGAAGCGGTTGCTGTTGTCTGTGCACAAGTGCCCTTACTCCAGCAGAGTTGTAGCCAGAAGCTCAGACCTTCCATAGGAGCGCCACTGAGCATGAGTAATACACACCGGCCGGGGTTAAGACAGTCCCATCGGAATATGTTTTTTTAAGCAGCCTTAGTCACTGGGTTGAGTATTTTTGAGAGGAGAGTTTGCATGCTATTATGCGTCCTACTGCTTTTATTCTGGCTTTAAAGCCACGTTCAATGCACTGATATACATTTATTTATTCATATCCGCCTCTCTTTAGCTCATGAGCCAGATAAGAGACCGTGACCCTATCAGGAAATGGACCTGCAGCCCTATTACCTATATGCAGTCTCTATATTAATGTGTCATTAGGCTGCATTTTTGTATATTCCATTGGATTAGTTTTACATAATGACTGTTTGAAATTTTGCTTAGAGAGCACATTTAAGCAGTGGGGAGGGGCCGGTGGCGGTGGTGGTGGGGGCAGTGTGGGAGAAGGCTTGCATTATGAACTTCATTATGTGTGACAAGCAGCACAATATTGATGGAAGAGTGGGTCCCCATCATTGCACTGCATTAAAACCTCTGCAGTGAATTAATGTACTATTCCTGATCTAGTAATTAACAATCATTCGGGGGCCATATCCCTTCTCAAGTAATCACTAATTGCAATAAGAATTTCAGATTCCATTTAAGGCAAGATTACCGATGAGCATGCAATGCAAATCAGCCAACAGTTCTAATTAGGCTCCGATTCTTTCTCTCTCGCTCTTTCTGCCGAGATCCTTTGTCAGCGCGTACAGTTTGTTTCCTCCGCATTATAAGAGATACATTTTTTTTTTTATCATAACACTGCAGATAGTGAGCTGTGAAGTGCCCAAAGATTAGCATGTGCGGTTTGTCTTGGTTCCTTTTTGGGTTGTGTTTTTTTTTCCCCGCCCTCCCTTTATGTTGTTTGGCTCTGTTTTTGTGCATCTGCTGTTAAGACATTCTGCTTTGGTGTTTGGCGTGAGGTCAGACGTCTCTAGACTTTGTGCAGGCAGTTAACTGAACTACAATCACCAATGAGCCCGTCACTGTTTACCTTCCTTTTTTCAACTATTATAACAAAGTTACTGCTGCTGTTTGACTTGCAGAATACTCAAAGGATTATAAGTCATAAGTAAGTCAAACGTCTGAGGCATATATATATATATATATATATATATATATATATATATATATAAATATATATACCACATATGTCACTTTTACCCTCTCCTGACACCAGCCGCCCCTTCCAGTCTAATTTGTGTTGCTTGCTCGAATTGTGACAATTCATCAATATCACACAGCTGATATGCTGGGGCTTAAAGATGTCGAATGAGGTTAATGACATCCTTAAATGTTCCTTTCTTCCATGCGTACGTCCAAAATGGAGCAGAGTATTTGCAGACTGCCACCCAATGTGTTAGGATTAATTATCGCCCTCCGCAACCCCACCTCACCCTGCAAGTTAAAGATTCAGAGAGGAAATGGCCCCTTTCATGCAAATGAAATTGAATATGTCAGTCAGTATAATTGTGAAAACCGAGCCGTCTTGGACTGGCGTCTGTGCGCCCAATAGAGGTTTCAGCTAAAAGTCGGTTTATTAATGTTCTTCTTTCCTCTCTTTGATTCATGGTCTTTAATGGCTCGGCAGATCAAACTTAAGTCTACGGCGAATCCTGATAGCTGGGAATGTTTTGGCCATTGTGAACGAAACCCAGACTCGGATGTCTTCGAGAACCAGCATTTCTAAATGCAGTGTTTGACTGTGAGTTAAGCCGATATCAAACAGGCTTGTAATGAATGCACATCTGCAAGATCCTCTGAACCCCACTGGGACGATACAAAAAGAATCGATATCATTAGCCCCAGTCCTCACTTTTACCGTCGGCTGCTCGGAGAGCTTTCCTGCAGCAGGTACTTGAAGCAGAAAACAAAAAAATCAAACCAAACCAACAAAAACCTGAAGATGTGAGCTTATTTATGCAGTGTCAGTTTACCGACAGTGTTTCTTGAAATGTTTCCCCTTCTGTGTCATGTCAGAGTTTGACTTTTAAATGGGTTTTGCAGTTAATAAACACGTTTGCATCCTTTATTCATTTGGATTGGGATTTATCAAGAAGAGAAGAAATTTCCATTTAGGTCCAACACCTCTTACTTTTTGTTTGAAATCCAAGTTTGAGCAGAAAAGAAAATGGAGCGGCTCTCCCAATCCTTCCATTAGTGCCGGTGTCACTGGCTCTTTGTGCACTGCCCCGGAAATATATCGGAAGATAACATCACACAACAATTATTTGCACTGAAGGTTGCTCCTACATCACCTCTGTGAATGACTGATTCTGGTAACCCGTATTACGGTCAAACCAATGCAGCGCTTCTGAGGGTCAACAGTTGTGTGTGGTTGAATGGGGCATTTGCCGTAGCCCTGGAGAAAAGAGGAAGGGCGAAATGCAATGCACTGTTGCAACTTGAAAGAATCAAATGAATCCCAGAGTTTCCCTTCGTGCTTTAAATAGGTTTCCAGAAAAGGACTCGTGCAGATCAGCCACCTCTTTTTGTTAGTGCTGCCTAGCACCAATGTAACACCATATTGTTAAACAGCAGGGTGCAGAGTGTCAGCACAGATCAGACCATAATGGTTATATACAGGCTACCAAAAGATACCGGCCACAAGTTTAATTTTTGGCATCTATATGCCGTTTTTGATTCCAGAGTAGGTAATATGTTGTGCCTGCTCAAACGTAACTCCTTGTGGTTATTTATTTACGTTATTTCTTTATAATCAGCTAAAAAAAAACTTGATTGATGGGTTGAAAAAAAAAAAACTTGAAATGTTTTAAGACCTCACCAGTCGTAAGGGTAGTGTGCAGTAGCAGGAGCAGTTATGCATTTCATCTTCAGCCCACATTGTTTCAAGGCTTCCAATTTTCATTTCTGTTCACACATTAAAAATATAGATATTTAAAGTCAGGGAATGGTCTGCCCCCTCAGCCCTGTGGACATGGATGTTCTGAAGAACAATCGTGGTTCTCACTCAAACATCAAATTATTAACACAACATTGAACCATGAAAAATGGAGCTGTGGGATGCTTCGTCTTTTCCCGTGGCTATGTATGGGATAGGTTACATAATGACCTCGAGGGAAGGCAGGAACAGGCCCGTGTCACAAGCCTTTCAGCTTGTGACACTTCTCATTTGTTTGCCACTGACAGCTTAGCAGTGGATTACCAGGTGCCTAGCCATGGCATTAATTTATGTAGATTGTGGCTACCTCTCAAAGGAGGCGCGCACACGCAGCCGAGGTAAAAGGAGCCTCTTAAATTGTTAGCTTCGCGTTGAAAAGCTAATCTGTGTTAATTAAATTTTTTTTTTTTTTGGTTTAAATGAACATGATTACAGTTAAAAAGTGACACGTCTCCCCTGCTTTCTGCTTTCGTATGCTTTTATACCGCAACAGAAGTCATTTTCTGACACAGTCGCTGACATAAAAACAAAACAAAAAAATCGTGTTTCTTTGGTAAGGTTTCTCTGTGGCGTGTGAAATTTGCACACTGTTTGCTCACAGACCGTGCCTCTACTCGCTGCCAAGGTTATAGCCGCGGTATTGTTCGGACAAGAGCCGAGGTTTCAATCAGCCTCTGTCTGCGCGGAGCCGTACGAGGAGCCTACCAAAATGGATGTTTGTCAGCCGCAGATCTAAAATGGGGGTATGATGGCGATATCAGCGGCCATGTCTGTGAAAACACCATTACCTCCATGTCACGCCTCAATCACTCCCCATTGTGCTATGACTAGCCCCCCCACCCACATCCCCTCCTCCCACACACACACACGGATGCAGACACACACACTTTTCCCCTCAACTCCAGCGCCGATCTCCAGTACATGTCGTAGAAGTCTATTACAGGCAGCACAGGGAGACGCGCCGCAGCCGTAATGGATGGCCTGGGAGCGAAAACAGCCCCAATAGCATATCAATTACCCATCAGCGCCCTCTTGGCTGCATGCCAACGTGCACCACACCCCGGCCAAGTCAATGAGATAAGGCGCAAATGCAGATATAATAGAGCTTTAGGCCAAGTACAAATTACACAGTGTCAACTCTGCTGCCCACCTGTCTGATCTGTCAGCAGGTGAACCAGAGTGTGAGTCTGAGAAACCTGCGCGTGCGTGTGCGTGAGGGGCGATCAGGCGATTTCCCAGACTCGCTTGCCCAGCGGAAGCCCAGCTGCTCGCCCGTTTATCTGTTCGCTCTTTTGATTGCCACTCGCATATCTTATGTCACCTCTCCGCGAATCCCGCAGGTTAATTTGTCCCACGCTCGCAGCGCCGTCGCCGACACTGCTGCTAGGCATTCAGCCTGCGCACAGGCAGGCACGCGAATAAGCACAGTCGCACGTTCTCGCTCACACACGCTCACTCGGATGAGGTGATTCACATGGTTGGCATTACTGCAGCTGTGTGGCTTCTAATGGCCTTCTGAAGTGATTGATAAAAGGCAAACAGTTGCTCTGCAGGGGGACAGATGGAGCTGCACCTCCCACTGAAGCCGGCACTCTAGCTTCAGAGGAAAACACTGGCGGTGGGGGTCTGACTTAGCACTGACATTATTGCTACTGAAATTATAAGAGCCTTGATCATGATAAAGCTGGAGTCTAAATCAATCAAAATCTCATCAGGGGAAGCCAGGTCCCTTTGATAACCGATCACTTTCATGCTTTTGGATTTTGGTGCGATTGTAAAAGAAACGTCAGCTTGTGAGGCAGAGGCTGATTATCCTGGAGTGGGGGGAGGCAAGACAGAACTGAATTGTTGCGAGTGAATATGGATTGAGATTGGCTGTAATGGCTGACAAAGCCTGACTTAGGCCAGTGAACGTTTTTCTTGTAATTCTAAAAATGCACTCTGCAGGAATAAGATTGGAACAACCTCATTGTTGTGCAAACCAAAGCAAATACTAGCGTACGGCGCTGCAAAGCCCACATGGGGTTTGAAAACGTCCATACCATGACCACAGAAAGCACACACGCTTCCACTCCTCTGTTCTCCCACCTCCACTCGCCTGCTGCATTTTTTGCATTTTTATCCTCACTTCCTTTACGCTTGACTTGTTGCGTCAAATTAAAGGACCAATTATGAGCGAAAAGAACAGCAGTCAAAGAATTCCAAAGCTCTTATCAGGTTTATGTCTCATTTGTGTGGGGCACCACTATTATTCAGTGATGTTCTACAGATTAGCAATGTCTGCAACTAAATGGATTTAAAAGGCTCCTTTTTTCTGAAAACAAGTGGGGAAATGTTATAACATGGAGATATTAGCCCTGGTGCTAATGCTACTGATCAGAAACACCCAGTCTCAGAGGGATGCTAAAAAGCTAGCTCATGTGTTAATCACTTCTAACCTGAACTTGAATACTTACTATAAATCTCTGTTTCTCTTCCACGGTGTGTTTTTGTCCTGTCTCCTTCCCCACACCCCCAACTTGTCACAGCATATTGCTGCCCGTCTGCTGGAGGTTTCTTCCTGTTAAAAGGGAGTTTTTCCTTCCCACTGTCGCCAGGTGCTTGCTCATAGGGGGTTGTTTTCTCTCTGTTATTGTAGGGCCTCTACCTTACAATATAAAGCCCCTTGATACGACTGCTGTTGGGATTTGGTGCTATATCAAATAAAATTGTACTGGATTGAATCAGAGTCTCGTTTCAGTTGCCAACTAGTTCCGATTAAATTAACTACTTCTTCACAAAGTAAAGAATTCAGAAAATAGACTGGCTTTGCAGCCTCGTTTGAAAGCTTGTATGGAGAACAACAGAATCACCACAGGAGTAGCTGCATGCATCTAGCTCGCATTTCCTCCCATTTATTTTATGACAGTATCACATAGCGATCACAATAGCACAGTTTACAGGCAGAGAAATAAGAGGTGGTCTTTTTTCTGGCTTGACACAAGTGAAAGTCTTTATGTCTAAATAACTGGCAATTAAATCCAAATTTCCTCTTGAGAACAAATGAAAAACAACAAGTGGAAAATGGCTTTTATAAGCCTAATTTCTTCCTTTTCTCTCTTCCATCGCAACAAAATCCACCCTAAGTCTCAAGTCAGTCAACCTTCAATGGAGATTTCACAAAATCCTTCCAGGGTCAGGAGAATGTTTTCTACATTCTGCTCCCAACACCTCTGTCCTTTTACTCCTGATCTCAGCAGCTGATCTGTTTGCACTTGCACAATAAAGTCTCTATAAGCTCTCGTCTTGACTTCCAAAGTCAATCTTCTTAAAAGCCACATGCCAAAATCCTCGTGTGTGTGGCTTGATAAGAGATTAATTGCCCATTCTCTGCAATGCTCAGCATGCTCACATTTAAAAACAATCTTTTCTTGTTCTCTGCTTCTCTTTTCAGCACCACCAAAGTTTTTAAGAACCCCCAATGACCAAACAGGCGTGCAAGGAGGTGTAGCATCCTTCATCTGCCAAGCTACAGGCGATCCACGGCCGAAGATCGTGTGGAACAAGAAGGGGAAGAAAGTCAGCAACCAGAGATTTGAGGTATTAGGTCTATTGTTCTGATGTAAAATGCTCGACAAAAATGGGAATGCTTCAGCACTGCTTTTGGCTCCGCTTGCACATAATCCATTCCGCCAAGCCTCCCTCGCTTGCTTTTGCCCTGACTTGCCACCACGCATTAGCAGGCTCTAATAATCACGCTGGCCAGGCTTTTAAACATGCATGAGGTTTAATGAGCAAGTACACAAAAGATCTGGGGACAAATTTGTAATTGAATAAAAGACAAGGAAAGAGCAATTGGATAGAAGAAAAAAAACACACACGAAAAAACCCAACACAACTTGTGGTGTGACCCAGATACCTCCATTAGCATCGCGCCACATTTGCCAGCTACGTGCAAAGTGAAAGGGGGGG